GCCCATGTGTGGGTCATAAACTCATGGAATCTATTCAAATTTGATCGTCCATATAATAACACTTCCCATTTTAAATCTTGTTTGGAAAACTAGCTTTAAGAGAAAAAAATCAGTGTGTACTTTTAACAATAAATTTACTCTGGTCCCCTGATAACTTTCTGAGAGAGTTTGACCCGAGCGAGAGAGATGAGGGCTCCTTAATGACCGCCATCAAGGCATGATGAAGTACGGGCTCTCCAGCCATCAGTCACCCGCTGGAGGACCAGGAGGGCTCTTTCCCAGCCCTGGACCAGGCCTCTTTCTCCCGCCCATTACTCTCACAGCTTTCCTCTGTTCTCACTCCATCGGCCTCCTGTGTGTCCTCGCTGAGGCGATCCCAGGGCTCCGTCACATTCCTAAGCCCTGATGTTCTCATTTATGTCTCATCTGCCACCCCATCTGAGGTCTTCAGTGCTGCTAACACAGACATGAGAGCCGGCTTCCCTCCAGCTCTCAGGATTTGAGTTATAATTGTTTAGAAAATAGTTTCGTACTTCTGCCACCCTTCTGGCAGATAACTATATCTTTCTGATCTAAAACCTGCCGATCCAGAGGTCCTCCTTTCACTCATCAATCATGAGGAATCATGAGGAATTCCTTTGCTAATTCTTTGTTGTCTAAGATATAATCAAGTTGTGTCTTTCTTTCCCCAATGACATTCTAGTTTTAGAATCATTAATAGAAAAATTTGAAGCGTCTGGAATTAGTGGAAGATTTAAAGCTCTCACATTAAAACACTGGGCTGGCTACTTTTATGTCAACTTGACACAAGGTGGGGTCATCTGAGAGGAAAGACTCTTAATTGAGAAAATGCCTTCATAAAACTGGGCTATAGGCAAGGCTGTGGGGGTATTTTCTCAGTTGATGGTTGATGTGAGAGGGTCTGGCCCATTGTGGGTGGTCCAGGAGAACAGCACCCCTCCATGGCCTTCACTTCGGTTCCTGCTCTGACTTCCCTCACCACTCGACTGTTACCTGGAAGAGTAAGATGAAATCACTCTTTCTCCCAGGGTTATGTTTGCTCATGGTTGTTGTTATCACAACGGAAATCCTAATTAAGACAAACACTACCGTGGTAACATGGACACATTATTTCTTCATATCCAAAGGAGAGCATAAAATACAGAGCCGAGACTCATGACATCAAGAATAAGAAGAACTTGGGATTCCTGGCTACCGCGGCAAAGAGTTGTTTTTCATGTTGTTGTTTTCATTTTTCCCAGCACTCGAGCACTATGGGGTTGCTACATTGCTTGGATGCGGATAGAAGTGAATTCCTCACCCACGCTAAGGCGGTATGAGCTACATGGAGACACTTGCCACAGGGGTGCAGATTTCTGAAGGTTCCTAACCTCCTCTCGCATCTTTAAAAACCATACTTCTGAGTTCAGTGGGGGAAGTGGGGAGTGATAATGATCAAAAGAATTGCATATTTTTATGAAATTCTCAAAAAAGTACCCTAAAACAATACTTCTTAGATTAGTACATTTTCATATATGAACAAAAATTTGGTGTTTATTTAAATTTGCTAAATAATATCCAGTTCCATCATAATAAAAATAACTCAGCAACTCAGAAAAGAACAGGAAACTTTCTTATCAGGCACTGAAAACTTGGTTTAGATATAAGCTGCCCTTGAGTCTGAATACTTGATTGGTTTTTGAAAAATGCCCTTAGAAGTTTCTAGTTTGTCACCCAAATAGCATGTCAGACAACAGAGAACATTTCGTCACGCTCAGACACCACTCAATCATCATCTGAGTTTGACTTCGAAGCTTTCACAATTCAATTTTATTTAGAATTAAGAAAATATGACTGAGAACAGTCTAAGGGCAGAGCGAGCATTTGTCTTTTGTGGAGCCACAGGGCAGAACGAAAGGGGAATGAACGAGTCCATTCCTCGTTTGGTTTGCCTCTGATCTCATCTGCCACCCTCCACATACAGCTGACCCGCGGTCCCCTGAGACTGCTGGGACCCTGGCAAGACACTCCCACTGATGCATGAGCATGTATTTGGGTTAATGGGGTCCCTTCACAGTGCAGCTGCCCGAGAAATGACTCGTGTACACAGACATACCACTGAGGCCATGGGGCATGGCAGGGAAATGTTTGATAGTAGACTTTATGCCTTCGGGAGACATCAGAACCTCTGGGTTCTCCTTAGCCTAAGTGTGTGGAACTGAGATAAACATATGCTCTCCAACAGACGGACAGACACAGTACAGACATGATCTCAATTGTTAAGACTACTGAGGAAGGCAAAATATAAAGGAATTTGCATAGCAAATGCGAAGCCTTCTGCCATATCCAAAGTTGAATTAATTGCACCAGCACAGAAAATTCTAATTGATTGTGTCCACTTTTAATCTCAAGCAAATTCCCTGTAAGCTGATTATTTGGGAAAGGCTAAGGTGTGTTTCAAAACAAATGCCATGCTCCTTCATAAGATACAGCTATTACTGTACACCTGAGCCAGTGCAGTGTGCCCTGTCTAAAGTGCGCTAGGGTGAACTACATTTTTATGTGTTGCTTTCTTTGTGTGTGTGTGTGCGATTCAGAGGACACGAGGATCTCAGTGTCCTTTCTCAGATGTGGTCCTTATCTTCCTTTGTGTGCATGTATGCGGATCCAGGAGACACGCAGAACTCAGTGTCCTTCCTCAGATGTTGTCCATATCTTTTGCTTCAGGGCAGGATTTCTCACTGAGCCTACAATTCACCAAGTAGGTGGCTATCTGGCCAGAGAGCCTCAGAAATCTACTTTCTCCGCCTTGTTGGCACTGGCCATTACAAGTATGTGACACCATACCTGCCCTTTTGAAAATGTGCACTCTGAGAATCAAGCTCCGGTCTTTCCGTTTGTAGCACAAGTGTTTACCAACTGAGCCATCTCCTCAGTCTCCATATTAATTACTTCAATAACTGAGGTTAAATCTTGATGCTACTGAAAGTGAGCTAGTTAGACTATATTTAAATAGATAAATACTAATTAGGAATAGATTAGGAACTCTGCTCTTTTGAATTTTAAATATACAGAGTTCAAGATGTCATATACAACAGAGATAAATACCATATATATGTATATATATACACACATATATACCAACCATCTTTCTATCTACCTGTTTATCATTCCATCTGTTGATACATATGTATATGTATATACATATGTATATATATCTCAACACGCATACATTTCGTAATTATACATAATCACATCTATTGTTTTATATATAGCATAATTATACATATTCATACACATGCATACTTAATTATACTTAAGAATTCTGCTCTAAAAACAATATACTTTAATTTTACAGCAGTGGGAAACTCACAAGGCTGCATCACGATTTGTGATTGACATGTAGGTCATCATTTTTCTTAAGATTTCTTTCTTTGGCCTTTGCATTCATAAAGAGTCTGTCTGTGGTCCGGAACCCAGCGTGATGGAGAATGCTTGTCTGCCCGCTGCTACCCACCCTCAGCATCCCTGCCATCACCAGGCAGACGGGCGAGAGCAGGCCCATGTAACGATTCAGCTCAAACACTGTACCTATTGCTGTTGACAGACTTTGCTCCTTAGAGAAGATATGAACTGCCAACTGGCTGTGACAGTCTGTGAACCAACACCGACATTTGTGTTGGCACCGTGACAGTGTTTATAGCTCCAGAAATGCAAAGAGCCAGAGAAGGACTGGCCTGAGGTTTGTGAGATCGAACGGACTGCATTACAGAAATGATATAAACATGCTGACAACGATAAGCACTACGTGAGAGAAAACTTTAGAGCCCAGGGTCTCTGGGAAGCATCTCCTCTGTGTGACGTGTGGGCCGTGAAGAGGGAAAGGCACATGGGAAAGGCAGTAGCCGCAATTCAGTCATAGAACCCGTCAGCTATGATGCGTTTTCCAACTTCCCATCACTTCAGAAAGCAGCAATAGGGGAAAGAAATGAACCAAAAGATGAATATTTGGTTGGTGTGGAATAGAAAAAACAGGAAAGGGAGAAAAAAACAGCATTCTATCTCATTTTTCTTTTGCCAGATTCAGAACCAGACTTTCTTTGACATTTCTTTAACCACCTCCGAATGTCACCATAAGGCTTTTAAATGGGCACATTTCAGCGTGACTTTGGAAATGCACAGGTGAGTCTGTGTACCCGCTTCCCAGCAGGTACATTTTATGATGATTGTGGTCTTCCAGGCGGTGTATGTTAAAAAGCACGTTTGTGACTGGCTGTCTCTGGGAAGTAAGGGCTTCCTGAACAATTAAATCCAGCAGAAGAGGCTCCAGGAACCCCAATTTCTATCTGGTTGGACGGATTCTCAGGAGAAACATGGGGCTTGCAAATGGCATCTGAGCTGCGGGAAGTACTGGGAACTGAGCACTCAACCTGAGTGTGTGTGTGTACATGTTTACATGTGTGGGCAAGCATGAGAATAGGAACATGCGAGATTAACCTGGATGCCATCCTCAAATAACTCTCTACCTTGGTTTTTGAGATAAGATCTCATGAACCCTGGAGAGCAAATTCAAGGCCACTTTTTCCACTAATTATTATTGCATGCATACATCTATATGATATATATAGGAATATATATATATATATATATATATATATATTCCTAGATATAACATGCTTGGTCCTTATAATGCTACTTTGCTACTTGCAGGTATGCTTTCAGGCTGAGCACTTGGCAAGGGACAACAAATTTGTGTGCTCGTCCTGGTGGACAGCTCCTTTCCCACTCCAAGCTCCCCTCATTGCCTTTGTACATCACCAGAAGTGGCTGCTACAGGGGAAGTGACAGTGAAGCCAACAGCACAGGGAGAGTCTGGCAAACGTTGCTAGCACATCTGAACATTAACCTACCTCTCATAGGATCACTGGCTGGAGGAAGTAAACCCTGAGAAAGCCGTTATATTTTAAATTCATAAGTAACTGATTTAGTCAGAGACTTACTGCTCTGGTTCCAGGACAGTCTGGAGACTGGCACTCGCCACTCATCTGGTTTGGAATTAAGACATCTTCCCAGCAGGACGGACCCTGTGGAAAACAAAAACAAGTAGAATCATCATATCCTGCAAACCACAGAAATGTAAATGCCCTTCCCCAGACAATCACGAAGCCTTCCCATTGGAACCATGAGGTGACAGTGAAATGACTGGACTACAGTGACCCACACAGTGTGGCTAACAGATGTATTGGGGCTTTTCCCAGATGTTCTCGCAGGCTATGCTGGGTCAGAAGTGTCCACATGAACATACAAGAATTCATTGTTATTTGGCTTGACAGGTTCCTTCCTCCCCCCGGGCCTCTGAGTCTCTGGTCCTGTTTGAATGTTGCTGTACAAAGGCCATTCCGGTGTGGGACAGCACTACATAGTGCTGTGGCACAATGGTCTTGTACCCTGTAAAGATTTGTCAGTTGTATTGGTTTAATAAAAACCCAAACTAAGATGAAGCAAGATGAGAATGCCTTGGTGATAACAGGTACCAAGCCATGTGGCTAACACAGGTAAGTAAGATGTAAGATGTAAGCATTAGTTAATAAGAAAGCCTGAACTACTAGGCCAACCAGTTTATAATCAATGTAAGCCATTGTGTGTTTCTTTAAGACTTACCGCCTGTAGGACCAGGCAGGACAGAAATCTCTGTCAACAAATGGTTCCAACAGGGACAACTACATTCACATAAAACCTGAGAGAGCTTGGGAAGTAATTCTAGACACAAAAGAACAGAGTTAAGAACAGCTTCTTGGTAGCAACATTTTCTAGTGTGGACTTTGTTTGCTTGGGGAAAGCATCTCATTAAGAGAGGCTTCCTGACTCAGTTTTAGCTGCAAAAACCTTGCAGCTCTTTTAAGAGACCCACCACCAAACACTTAATTGATGTTTATGAATAGCCATCAGCATGCTTCTTGGTAGTGGCTGAGACCTTTAAACTCCATAGAGTTGTTGCAATAAACATGGCTCCAGCTAGTACCTCCCCCATGAGGCTAGACTCTCAGAAAACTAAGAAATGGGGTAGATCTAGCCATTGAGGCCACAGCTTTAATCCTAGCCACATTGATTAGAAAAGTAAAGATTCATGACATGAGAAAAAGAGAGCTACACAGTAAATATTGATTCAGAAACAAACATGCAAACAAGAAAACAAACCTTTAAATGGTTTACAGTGTTTTAAAAATATATGTAAGCTTTGGAGAGAAAAAAAAAGAATAAAGTCCTTAAAAGAGAAAAAAGAAAGGAAGGAAGGAGAGAAAGAAAAAAGAAAGAAAGAAAGAAAGAAAGAAAGAAAGAAAGAAAGAAAGAAAGAGAGTAGTTAGGTGTGGTGGCACACATTTTTAATCCCAGCACTTGGGAGTCAAAAGCACATAGATCTCTGTGAGTTCAAGAACTGCCTGGTCTCCAGAGTGAGTTCCATAATAGCCAAAGATACACAGAGAAACCCTGTCTCAAAAAAACAAAAATTAAAAATAAAAGTAAAAAAATAGTTTAAAATAAAGCCACATAAAGATGAAAGATACACAGAGAGTCTGGATACTGTATGTTATTGTGTTGTCTCTGAATTGTTTGATGACTGAGGTAGGAGCAAAAGCTGCTAAAAGACATTTGATTATAAATGCTGCTGGATTAATCCAACATATATTTTGAAAATGCCTTGACTTCAAAATTTAAGTCAAAAGATGTGTTATTTTGGAGAGGAAGTTTTGTTTTTGTTTCAACAGGAAATTAAAGGCTTTGGATTTATTCTGGGTTAACAAAAGTCAGGTTTGATCAAGGAAGACCCCCTGAGAAATCTCTGATAGGAGCAGATGGCCCAGATGTCTGAGTTCTACATCCTGAACAGCCTCAAGACTGCTAGCTGAGATGATCAAGCTTCACAGAATATTATAGTCTGGACTTGACCAAAATTCTAAATTTTCTTTACTTCCCTATAAGATTAACAGTGCCCGCAATCGCAGGAAGTAGCCGGGAAAACTATGCCCACATTCCCCCACCCCCCCAAATGGAATATGGATATTTGTCTTTGTTTAGAGTGTTGGTTACAAGTTGTTATGGATAATAGTCAGGAAGAAAAGCTAAACAAAGAAGATTAGATTCAGAGTTTTTGTTGTAAAAAAAAAGGGGGGGATACTATAGGACAATGGTCTGCACCCTGTAAAGATTTGTCAGTTGTATTTATTGAATAAAATGTTGATTGGCCAGTAGCCAGGCAGAAAGTATAGGTGGGGCGACCAGAACAGGAGAATTCTGGGAAGAGGGAAGACTCAGTCTGCAGGTGTCACCAAACCAAGAGGAAGCAAGATGAGAATGCCTCTGATAAAGGTACCAAGCCAAATGGCTAACATAGACAAGAACTATAGGTTAATGTAAGATATGAGCATTAATTAATAAGAAGCCTGAGCTAACTAGCCAACCAGTTTATAATTAATGTAAGCCTCTGTGTGTTTCTTTTGGGACTGAACGGCTGTGGAGCCAAGTGGGACAGAAACCTCTGTCAACAACAGAGTGTATAGATGGATTCTACAGCTGGTCTACCCACTTTCTGAGTCCCTGGTCCTGTCTGAATGTCACTGTACAGACTGTCATTCCAGAGTGGAACCGTACTCTGCAGCTGATCCACCGACTGTCCATTAGGTTATAGTAGGTGTTACTTCCTAACAAGTGGTATGACTGATGAGGTGGGTGTATGTTCCCTCACTGGATATGGGTTCTGCTAGGGAAGACCTTGTCTACTAACATCACATAGCATCCTAGTCCACAGAGAGGGACCTGGGACTGGATATACAGCATCTCAGTCCACATGGAGGAGCCTGGAACTGGACACACCATTCTACTAAGCAAAACACAACTTTAGCACCCAGAGTCCTTTGATTAGATTAGCAAAGGACACTGAAAATATCAGTGCTACCTCTTAGACTCGTTTGGGGCAACACCCCTGCAGGAGGACATGATCTTCTAACAACACCCAATGCCTCAAGTCCCATGTCATGTGTACATGGAGGCTTCTGGGTACCAGGCATGTGTATGCTGAGAAAGGGTGTGTACCACCACCTATGTCCTCAGCAGGAAACATCCATGCTTGCTCGCTTTTAAAATGTTCTTGAACATTTTAAGGTTACAAATGATCTGACTCCATATAATTTTAGGGCCCCTCTATGCCGGGGTGGCCACTATGCTGTCTGCTTGGATCTCAAGGTCCTGCTACCTGATCACATGTCAGACTCCCCCTTCCCCCATGCATGTTTTCCTGTTTCTCATGTGCTTTTTTGGACTTCTCTACTGAGAGGTTTTGTGTGTGTGTGTGTGTGTGTGTGTGTGTGTGTGATTATTAATGTAAACCTCACTTTATTAAAAGTATCCAAAGAACACGATACATTTAATTTAGAGGTTTTGAATATAGCACTAACCAACTGGAAGCCACCCAGATCACCAGAGAGCTGCACAGCTACCTGCAGCTACATCAAACAGAAACAGTGGCTCCTAGTTTTTATTCACAAACCTGTGTTAGAGCAGGAGTGCAGACGCTGAAAAGGTTGGGAAAGGAAAATAATGAGGGAGAAACAGCTCAAGCCATGTCCCTCCAGGCTGTGGTCTCCTTATTACTGACAAACAACAGTGGCCATGTTTTAATGAAATGATTTTTCCTAAATTCATTCCAATTTAAAATATGGATATTTAAATGGAAATATACATGTAATTACATGGAAAGGGGGGCAGTGTTGAAAGAATGTCTGGAAACTGCTTGCTCCCACTGTCCTGGGGATACTCATACTCACACACGCACACACACTTCTCCCCTGAGGTATCACTTGACATCAGCTTGGAATTCATCTGTGTATTAACACATGAAACCAATGGGACTGGGGGCCACAGAAGTTGATGATGCTTTCTAGAAATGGTCAGTGGACAGCAAAGGGTAACTCATGCCCTGTAGGCCATAAGGGGACTGAGAACTGAAAAAATAGTTCAGAGGTGAGGAGAGACAGCAGGGGGAACCTGACACAGAGTCTCATCAACAGAAGATCCTCAAATATACTGAGAAAATGGCCATCTTACCTGCCTCAAAACAAAAATCAACACAAAATCCTAAAGTTCCAGTAGCTCCTTCAAAGGTCTAAGAGTGTTTCTAACCTATAATTCTAACCTATAATTGCCTAGAATGGCAAAAAGTATGTTGGGGACCCAAGAGATGGAAAGGGGCACAGAGGAATGACAGCTCCCAGAGAGCAGAAGGCTGAAGGGTGCTGGCATCACAATCTGTGACTTAAGAGACAGTTAGGGGTAGGCAGTGTGTCTGTAAGTATGACAGGAAGGACAGGGGATGGGCAGAGCTTCCAGCACAGGTGGTCTGACAGCTAGTGGCCTGGAGCCAGGTGGGGAGACATTTGGACAAAGGAGCAAGGGATGCGAAGTCATCATTTACACTGCAGGAAGTAAATCAGTCACCACGGGCCAGCCTAAGGACCATTTCAGTGCCAGGAATCAGGCTCGAGATACTTGGGAAATTTACAGCCGAAACTAGTAAACATGTGATGGTACACAGAGCCAGAGACCCTGCCTAGAGCTAGACTAAACCTGGTGTTTCTTCACCAGTATACAGACATACACATGTGCACCCACGTTCATATGTGTGTGTGTGCGCACACACACGCATGCACACGCACATACACACATACTATACACATGCTACAGCACACAGGCTACAAAAGACCATCACATATACATGCACACAGACATGTATGCACACAGCACATACACATACTACACATATGGGACATCCACCTGTAAGACACTTTGATCTCTCAGACCATTAGTCTACAAGCCACTGCTAAGCCCGAACAAGGTGTGCAGAATGCAGGCTTGTTTCAGTGTCGGCTGGTTTTTTGTTTGTTTTTGTTTTTGTTTGGAGACAGGGTTTTGCTGCGTAGCCCTCACTGTCTTGGAACTCACTCTGTAGACCGTAGATCAAGTTGGCTTTGGACTCAGAGATCCTCCTGCCTCTGTCTCCCAAATGTTGGGATTGGCGACCTGCCTCACC